TCAGCAGGAGCAAATGCTAGGTTTCTAACCCTATGTTGAGTTGTTTTAGAAGCTCTATAGGGATCTCTTGTGAGTTGGTCCTAATTTTCTTTAAATACAGGAAGTATCAGTGAAAAGTTTTTGTTTTTTTTTTTCCTGAAGACATGTGTCTTTTATTCATCAGCAAAAGAGGCAGAGAAATACAAATTTTCTTTGCTTGATTTGTGTATCTGCCTTACCCTTCATTCAACAGTATCACTTGTAGTGGTCAAAGGAAATTAAATCTTATTGTTCAGTCTGACTGATTTTTCACTCTGGAGACTGATGAACTTGAACCATCCCTCAGATGTCACCATCAGATATCAGATGACACTTTAGGCTCAAAAAGTTAAGAGGTTCCTTGGAAAAGGAATTGGCCAAGTTTCATTTGTGCATACTAAGTGGAATTCAGCCTCCACGGACTGACCATGCTACGGTGAACCAGGTGTACACCCTAGATTTAGTCACTCCACATTTATAATGACAGATTCTAAAAAGTATATTGGCCAGTGCTGGAGAACACTGATGGACTTGTTCATGTTTTTCAACTGGAGAACATTTGCAAATATTTAGCATGCAAGCCAAATGTTCAAGTTTTATGCAGCTGTTTTCTGAATACAGTTTTCGTTTTGATTCCATTTGGACAAGCTGCCTCTTTCGGAAGGTTATTTTCAGTGTCAAAAGCCATCAGTAGAATGATACATGTCCCTTTAGGTGAAATCTCATCCACATAATTCAGTATTTTCACAGCGTTATTCAGCTGGGTTGTTTTATTATGAGAAAAATGAAACTCTGAAAATATTTCCACCTCCATAACATAACTTTTAAAATTTAAATTTAAAAAGAAACAAACAAACAAGCCCTAAACAATTCCTATGTGGCAAAATCTCGAGTCCTGTATTTTCCAGGCATTATGTGAGTACTTAATCATTCTTTAAAATAACATATGAGACATTAGAAATTTGTTCATGAAGATGTGAGAATGGCTCTCTGATTTCCAGTGTTAATGTGTTTTCAGCATCCTGTGTATTGTGTGAATGTAGTTGGAACGCAGAATGCGCACAATCTCATTACTGTCTCTACGGATGGCAAAATGTGCTCCTGGAGCCTGGATATGCTCTCAACTCCACAGGTGGGTTTGTTTTCACCTATACAGGGGAAAAAAGCACCTTCAGTAGAGCAGGATACCTGCTTAACGGAACATTGCTCCTAAAAGCCAAAACCTCACGTCCTATACAAACTAAAACCAATGGATGCACTTGAAAGAGTACAGCTTGCTTCCAGCAGTCTCTGCTAAGAGCCAAAACCCATTTCCTTTACCACAAATCATGTAATTATTGTAATACGTTAATATATAGGTCAGTTTCAAGTGAAAATGAAATAATCCATTTTAAAGCACGGTAATTACAGAAGTCGCCTGTGGTATAAATTGTACATACTCTACAGCATTGTTTAACAAATACAGACTAGATTGCACCGCTGCTGCACACACCCTAGCCACTACGGGTTTCCAAGGCACACAGTCAAAAAGCTTACTTTGCTGCCTGCCTTCAGTAGCCAAAGGAACAAACAATGCAAATCAAAAGTTTTAGAACTAATTTACCCCCTCTGGAATGTTTGCTACTATTGTCATTCC